AGTGGGGAAGAGGCAGGATGATAATAATTACAAACATCTTCATAATAATGACACTTGGTCACCTCAGTTGAGGAGTCTGTTCTTTTCCAAAGTTCTTCATCTTTTTCATCTCATTAAGGGGTCTCTCTCACCCAGTGAGGTGGGAAGGATAAAGTGTTGTCTCCATTTTACAGAAGGGGAACTGAGGCCGAGTTAGGTCAGGTAGTTTTCCCACAGCTACACAGACAGCTGAGAACAGGGCTGGAATGAAAATTTATGTCTTCAACCCCGGAGCTCCACTCCACACAGCAGCTCCTCCTCCCTGAGCCAGTGGGAGCTCCTCCCGAAGGTTCTGGAGCCCAAGTTTGAAGCTCAATTGGACCTCACAGATAGCAAGTGTTAAGGAACAAGATAGGAAATAATTCTGGTCTGGGAGCCAGGACATGAGTTCCAATTCTGACTCTATGATGAACCTTGTCAGAACCACTCAGGTGAACCAGAGATGAGGGGTGGGCAAGCCCCCTCCTGTCTGATACTGGTGCCCAGGGGTCTCCTACTCAGGGCCAAGGACCCGGCCCCAGAGGTCTTCTGACCACACAGAGAGAGGAGAAAAGAATAATCTCCCAGTGAGCACCCACTACCTACCTGGCTTCACCAGCCACTTAAATCCATCATTTCTAATCCTCATAGCATCTCTGAGAGGCAGAGTGGGCCCCTCTAAATTACAGATGAGGAAACAAGTTAAATAGGGGAAGGACTTCACTGAGGGCACAGAGTGAGGAAGCAGTGGGATTTGAACCCAGGACTTTATGATGCCAAAGACCACCCTCCCCCACCCCAGCACTGGTCTCCATGGAGTTGAGATGGGCATCCCTCTCAGGAATGTTCAACTTCTCGTGCTGATTTTGTGTGGGAGGAGCACAGCTGACTTGGTGGCATGCATCATCCTTGCTGCTTTCTTCTGAGTGTTGGTCTCAGTACAGACACAGTGAGTCCAGGAGGGTGATATGCTGGCTACACAGACCTGGATTTGAGTCTTTCCCTACCATTTACTAATGATGTAACCTTGGAAAAGTCATTGAGTCTCTCTGTGACTCAGTTTCTTGATCAGTTTAATCAGGGGTTGGGTCTGGGGCATCAGTTCTTAGCCTAGCATGCACTTTAGATCAATCTGGGAGCTTTTAAAAATGCCCTTGCCTGCGCTGCACCCCAAGAGAGTCCTACGGAATTGGTCTGGGATGTGGTTCCACGTCAGTTTTATTTTAAAGCTCCTAAGAGATTCTCATATGCAGCCAGGTTGAGAACCACTGGTTTCTGTGCTCTCCAAGGGCCAGCCTTCCATATCTAACATTCTACATGGAGCCCTGGGCTCTGAGATCCTGTTTACCCAAGGATCAGTTCCCACGCCAGCCTGGATTGAGGCCCTTGACGTTAGCGGCAGTGCTGGCCAGCAGCACCACGGACAGTGAACAGCTCATCCCAGCCAATTCCGGCTGGGCTTCTGGAGGTCTGAACTTGAACCAGCTGTTGGGGCCGGAGAATCCTGAACGCAACTCCCTGCGACGCCCCTCCTCTTCCTTCCCTCTCCTTTCTCTGACTCTTCCCTCTCTTACTTGCCTGTCTACTTCTACTCCTATGGACCCTCCTACTCCTCGCTTGTAAGGCAGGATAGTGTGAGTTTTGACATCAGATAGGCCTGGGTTTGAATTCTACCCCTCCTACTTCCTTGAGAGGTGAACTTGAATGGGAACTGTCCTCGGTGCTGAACATGGAAATCTGTGTTCTCACAACGATCCTGAGAATTTGGTAGTACTGTTACCCTCATTTCACAAACGAGGACATTGAGGTACAAAGGGATTCATTACTTAACTTCATTCAGCCTCCATTTCGTCATCCATAAGGTGGGAATCTTAAGAGAGCCTGCTTCAAGGCTTTATTGTATAAATTCCGTGAGGTAACATACATAAAGGGCTTATCATATACCTATCACAAAGTAGTTATTCAATAAATGTCATCTATCATTATCATTGCATAATGACATATGACAATAGGTTTCATTATTATTCATTAGTGTTTCGCATTTTCATCCTTCACTGTGCATAGCAGTTTCCTCGTCTGTAAGATGGGAATGATACAGGATTGTACTGGAGTCAGCTCCTGTCAGCTCATGAGAGCCAAATATTAATTTTCAGGAGTTTCTTGAGCCACTTGATATACATTGGTAGCTTGAAATTGGCCATGGTGGGAGTATTTACACCGTGGAAATCAGCAAACACTAAAAAGCAGGACGTTGCTCTCTGCTCCTCCACTCCCTGGAGCTGATGGTTACACATTTACCAGCCCCCCACTGCATCTACATCATGGAGTTGGCATGAGGACTGAAAGAAAGAGAGTGGACATGACAGTGCATTGTAAAATACAAACTGCTGAACCTGGGGGGGTGGGCGGTGACCTGAGGTGGTCCCACAGCAGCCACAAGCCTGGAACCCTTATTTCTTACAATTCTGGGGAGCTGCTGACTTGTGAAGAAGACAGGAAGGAGTGTAGGGTCTAGTGAACCAGTGGTGAATCACTGACCCTTCACTATCCCCACGTGTCGGCATTAACTGTAATGGCTGCAATAAAGAATCCCGGATTGGGGAAATGATTCCATCATCCCCGCGGGAGTCCCTGGGATGCAGCCAAGGAGAGAAAGAGAAAGAGAGAGCTCAGCCATGTCCCTGGGGAGTCACTCAGCCCAGCATTGTGCCTTGCCCAGAGGGTGGAGGGAACATGCAGGGGGAGTGACGGGGAGACCCTCTCTCATAACAGTTATGACAGTCACTGTTTATTGAGCACCCACCATGAGCCTGATGCTTTATGTATCTTCTCCCATTTCAGTGTGTCTGTGAGGGAGGCGTGATTGTGCCATTGTATACCGGTATGCATTGCCTCCTGAGACAACAACAACCTGCCTTTATCGAGTTCTTAGCATGGGTCAGACACTGTCCTCAGTGCTGAACATGGAAATCTATTTGAATTCTCAAAACGATCCCAGGAGTTTGATAGTACTGTCACCTTCGTTTCACAAACGAGAAAATTGAGGGACAAAGGAATTCGTGACATGCCCAAGGTCAAACTGATAATAAGTGACAGGGCTGTCACTGATTGTGCCTCAATACGCTGGGCCATCCTCTCCAGTCATTGTGCCTATGCTGCCTCTGGCACCCAGAAGGGTTTTGTCATCAGAGAGCCCTGGGTTCAAATCCTACCACTTACTCACTCTCTGCTCCCAGTCAAGTCTTTTCCCCTGTTTGTAATTTGGGGGGCCCACTCTGTCTCTCAGAGACGCAATGAAGATTAGAGATGACGGATTTAAGTAGCTGGTGAAGCCAGTCTTTTAGCAGATGCTCAATAGGAGATTATTCCTTTCTCCTCTCTCTGTATAATGGGAGGCACCTGGGATCATGCCCTTGGCCCTGAATAGGAGATCCCTGGGCACCAAGCACCAAGAGGGAGGGGGCTTGCCCAGACCTCTTCCCTAGCTTCTCCAGGCAACTCTGACGTGGTTGACATGGAGCTGGAGCCGCCAAAGAGAGAGGCGCATTGCAGGGCCGGTTTAGGAGGCTCGGGCTAGGAGGGGGGACATGGAGAGGGAAATGAGAAATGCAAAAGAGTGAAAAATAAATACATGTGTCTGTCTGGAATGATCGAGGGCCCAAGGCTGGAGGCGGGAGAGGCGGGCGGCGGGCTGGGCTTAGCAGAATTGCTGCAGTAGCACTTGCAGAGCCTCGCTCGTTAGCCAGGCAGTCAACTGGCCTCACCTCCCAACGTGCCGCCCTGACGGCCCAGAGAGCCCAACCCAGCCCCAGGAGGACCCCCCTCCAAGAACCTCAAGAGGCCTGAGCCCCATCCCCACACCAGCAGGGCACCCAGAAGAGGGCGTCTCCCTGAACTGAGGGCTGTGTCTCATTCCCTTTGGGTCATACCCTCAGCCCCCAAGACTCCCTCTCCTTTCTGGAAAGGTTCGGGTGGACCAGCCCCTCCATCCAATCCCTCCCCCACTGCACCCTCCCCCTCACCCTGTCCAGCCTCTTGTCCCAAGCCCTGCTTTCGTCAAATTGAACATGATGTCAAATTAGAGCCATCTCTGGGACAGGCTGAGAGACGCTCCCAGTTTAATGAGGCAGCGTCGAAAATCAATAACTTAATTGCCGCTGTTTGATGGACTTTTATCCAATTTATACTCTCCCTAGCAGCCTACGTGCGGAGCATGAGGATAAGTGTGCATGTGTCTCAGGGCGGGGACTGTCTGAGTACCTGGGGGAAGGGGCATGGAGGGTACTAGGGCCCACAGCCAACTACTTCCCATAGGGAAAGCTGGGTGCTGCTGTTCTCCTGCCTGGGGACCAAGAGACACTGGCCTCTGAGCCCCATTGAACTTAGTTATCCTTCTGGGCTGCCTGCCCCCGTGGCTGGGGTAGGGTGGTGAGGAGGACGGGGAGGAAGGAGGCAGAACTCCCTGGAGAAATCAGGAGGGGCTGGAGTGGGTAGAAAGACCCCTGCTTTGGGAGTCAGGCGCCAGGTTTCCAGTCCTGGCTCTAACTCCAACTGTGATGACCTTAAGTAGTGAAAATGACAATTGCCACCACGCATTGAGAGGCTGCTCTGAGCCCGTTCTGCACTGAGTTTAAAATGCATTCCTTCAACTTCATAAGTCGAGGACTAGGATTATCCCCGTTTTGCTGACAAGGAAACAGATTCAGAGAGGCTACCTTCCCTTGCCAGAGTCCTGCAGCTGGGAACCACTGAAGGGAGATTTGAATCCACATCTGACTCCATGATCATGCTTGCGCCAATAGGAAGGCCCCAGATCAGGAAGCGGGTTGGGACTCCGTGTGGGGAGGAGGACTGTGACGGGCTGGCTTCAATGACCTCCAGCCTGGGTCTCCTCTCCCGGCTCTCTGGCGGTGGGGAGAAGTGGGGAGGACGAGCGCAGAGACCCCAGGTGACCCCTGTCTCGCTTGGTCCCCCGGGCCCAGGCACGTCGGTGATGCAGGTGATGGCCTCGGATGCAGATGACCCCACGTACGGCAGTAGCGCTCGGCTGGTGTACAGCGTGCTGGATGGAGAGCACCACTTCACCGTGGACCCCAAGACCGGTAGGGGCGGGATCCGGCCAAAGGGCAGAGGGGCGGAGCCAGGAGCCGGGTCTGGGGGTGGGGTCACAAGGGGCGGGGCCGGATGAGTGACGCGGAGGCGGGGCCGGAGGGCCGAGGACCACAGCCAGATGTGTGCTCTCACCCTTCTAACCAAAGTGCGCCGAGGGTACAACAGAAGACGCGGAGGCGTCTTGCCTGCTTCAGGGCACCCCAGGGTCGCGGAGAGGAAGGGGCAGCCGGGCAGGAAGAGGGAAGGATTGAAGACAGAAAAAGAATGAGGTGGAGGCTGCCTGCAATACTGGCAGAAAAACAAAAAGGCAGGAGACAGCCACTATGGGCGCCCTGAAAGGACTTCGGAGGTCTGAACCAAGCAGCCCCCTTGTCCTTGGAGCTAAACTGAGGCAGGTGTGTCCGCAGCTGTTACGGGGTGGGTCATAAGTGGAGTCTTGGGGGTCAGCTGGTGAAGGGCACCTTTTCAGCAGTTGCGAAAGCTCTGTTCAAACGGCAGTTGTTAAAGATCCGATGGAAAGACGGAGGCCGTTAGGGAAGGATGGCTTCTTTGTTTATTTGCCCTCCCCCAACACCACCAAACAATGGTGCAGCACCCCCATTCACTTACTCAGGTTGGAACCTGATTCCGTCTCTGAGGGGCCTTTCAAGAGTGGCAGGGAGGACAGAAGAAAGAGACTGAGGCTCAGAGAAGTGAAGTGGCTCCCTGAGGTTGCACAGCTGGGAGCGGCTGCCAGTTCCAGGGGCGGTGCTCTCACTGTCCCTGGGTTAGGAGGCGCAGAGCAGGAGTGAAGGCAAGAAATGAGACATCAGACACCATAGAACGTTCGTCAATTGCCATCATGGGGCTCACAGTCTGGAGGGGGCAGGGAGACAGGCATATGCATGAGCAATTAGGATGCAAGGTTCTTGGAGGCAGTAGCAGGGGATCGCCAAAGGATAAGAAGGTGTTGGCCAGACCAAGAATCAGAGAAGGGCATCCCAGGCAGAGGGCGTGATGCAGGCAGAACTGGGAGGAAGAGAACAGCCTGAGGCATGAGGGGAATTGTAAGCAACTCCGGACTGAGGAAGCAGGCGTGTTGAGAGGTGATGTGGAGAGGCTGGCGGGGCCTGACTGTGCAGAGTGAAAGCCAGGCTGAAGAGCTTGGATTTTATTCTAAGGGCAATGGGTGTGTGTGCTG